AGAATGTAACTATATATCTATCCCAACCACTTTGAATACACAGATATAAAATGGACATTAATCTATATACCCCATTTTTTCTAAGTTCCATTATTGAATATTATAGGTGTGTAAACTCAGCAAAATATTCTAAAAGAGTCCAGTAGCCCATAATAGCATTGTGACCCCTTAAATTTTTAAAAAAAAATTTCTTCCATTAATGTGTTAGTAAACAGTATCCTTTGCTTATTTATCCAAACCAGGAATCCAGAAATCTTTTTTTTTTTATATTTTAGGGAAGGGTCTACAGGGTATACAGGGCCTCACTGCATAGATTGGACTCTAGTGATCTGCCTGTGTACAGCCTCCCAAAAGCTGGAATTACCGGTGTGTGCCGCCACGCCCAGCCAGCCCCGGGGGCGGAGCCGGCATGGCAAGGCGCTTTTAATCCTCTGAGCTATTTGGCCAGCCCAAACCAAGAATCTAGAAGTTGTTCTTTCTTTCATTGTAGCTGGTTGATGCCCTTGGCCCTCTTACATAGTAATCTTATCTAGACAGAAAGCTTTAAATATCTGTGTTACCTGTTTCAGACTTGTGAAGAAAATATGATGGCAATGGTGATGTTAGAATCACCATTATATCATCTCATAACTCCTAATTTATATCTGGCAATTTGAATTTTTTTTTTTTTTTTTCCAGAACCAGGGATTGAACTCAGACCCTTGCACTTGCCAGGGAAGCACTTATTCCACTGAGCCATCTCCCCAGCCCCTATTCTAATTTATATCTGTAGTCCACAGATATATCTGATAACTATCCAGAATATATGAAAACTCCTATAGCTCAGTAACAAAACAAAGGACTTGAACAATCATATCTCCAGAGATGATCAGTTACCACAGGGAAGGATGCATGCTTGATTGCATAATCATCAGGAAGATGCAGAGATAGCACTCCACACCAATTAGAATAGCTATTATATTTTTAAAAATATAAAAGTGTTGGTAAGAATATGGCGAAAGTGGAAGCATTGTGCACTTCTAGTGGAGATGTAAAATGGTGTAACAGCATTGTGAAAAATCGTGTAGGAATTCCACCAAAAACAAAACAAAATAAATAGAATTACCTTATGTTCTAGAAATCCCACTAATTGGTATATACCCCGAAAAGTTGAAAGCAAGGACTTAAGCAGATATTTTTACGTTCATGTTAATATAAGCAGCATTATTCATAATACCTAAAGTGAGGAAACTGCTCAAGTGTTGATCTACAGAAAAATGGATAAGCAAAAGGTGATACGCATACATAGACTGGAATATTGTTTAGCCTTATAAGTGAAGGAAAGTCTAATGTTCTAAAAAATAGGTAAACTTTGAAGACATTATGCTAAGTGAAATGTCAGTTACTAAAAGACAGACATTGTAACATTCCACTTAAGTACCTAAAGTAATCAAATTCATGGAGACAAAGTGTGAGGAAGGTTATCAAAGGATAGGAGGAGAGAAAAATGAAAAGTTATGGTTGATTGGGTATAGAGTTATGGCTTGGGAAGAGAAGTTCTAGAGAAAGATGATGCTAATGGTTACAGTGAAAGTACCTAACACTATGAAACTATGCACTTAATAATAAGATAGTGTTTTATATAATTTATATTTTACCAAAAAGAAATCCAGGGGCCGGGGAGATGGCTCAGTGAAATAAGCGCTTCCCTGGCAAGCACAAGGGCCTGAGTTCAATCCCTTATTCCTAAAAAAAAAAAAAAAAAAAAAAAATCCAAAGGGTATTTTGAAGGATTAATTTGGTCCTGTTGATTGTTCCCTTCTTGAAATCCTAACCTTTTAGGCCTCTAGAATCAAATTCATGGCTTTTCTTACTGTTTCTCGGATCTTCTTTCCCATTTTCCTTTTTGGTTTCTCTAGTTTCTTTTCTGGCTTTCTTATATTGACTTATAATTGCCTTTATATTACAGGTTTTCCCTTTTACTGTGTGATCTTAGATGGGTTGTTTAACCTCTGTATCAGTCTCAAATCCAAATTAGATTCAGTATTCCTAATTTACTACCTGTGGATTGGGATAATGGACCACATTTTTAAACTTGTTTGCTAGGTCTTATATAATAATGACAGTTTCCATCTCTAGGTTAGAAATTTTTTTTTGATTTACAACTAATTTCAACTCTGTTTTGGACATTGCTCTTAGTTATTCCCTGGAAATCTTAAACTTGTTTTTAAAGCTGTTTTGGTTTTTCCTCTCTATACCTGTACTCCTCTGTTTTGGTGAGTGGATTTATATTCCACCCTGAATAGTGGACTAGGCTGACTTACCCGATCTCCTCCACTAGTTTTTCATTTTCTTAATTTGTAACTTGTGATTTGTTGCCTGGCATATCATGGGTCTTCATTGAATATTAGTTGACTATAACTGCCTGATTGTATGTTATGTGAATCACTATGTGATTATCTACAGGACAGATTTTCCACTAAATTCTTGTATTCTCTTCTGTGTTGATT